ACTTCTCCCAAAAAGTCCAGGAGGTCACCTGACTCCCTCAGGCTCTCGCTCACCAAAATGTGCAGGTCAGGTAGAAATTCCCCAGGCTCCCAGGGGCATCTGTCTGAGTGCAGGCCCCAAGGGAGCAGGAGGTAGCACCCCAGCCCCAACTTCAAAAGGGCGGAGTGCAGAGTGCATGGATTCCCTCCAGAAACTGCCCTTCCTTGTATTATTCCAATTATGGAATTTTAAATTTTCCTTTTAAAAAATCCCAAATAACAGAAAAGCACAAAGCGTGCTTGTTTGGTTTCATTTTGCCTTCACAGCTTTAATGACCCTCTTTGTGGAAGCCATTTAGGAAACTGGTGAGGAGGAGGTGGCCAGGAGGGGGGTCAGCCCCGGCCTCTGCTGTCCTCTTCCTGCTCTCCTCTCTGGGCCAGCCGGCCCCGGCAGCAGTTTCTCTTTACGCCCCAGCCCCAGGCCCAGTGGACAGGACAAGGTCCGAGTCCCAACCTACGACCCACCTCTCCTCCCTTTCCTACAGGCCTTGGATTCCAAGGTGTCTCCTTGCTACCCCAGCCCCAGCGCGGAGGTTGAAAGAACATATGTTTAGCCAGCAGGCTCTGGGGGAGGCTCCAGGATGGGCCATTCAGAATCACCAACCTTGCTCTTTCAGCACTGGGAATGGAAGGGGGTGAGGGCAGACCTCATTTTAGGCCTGACAGCTAGGGACAAGGTCAAAGTACCCTTAGTTCAGGAGAAACTACAAGGTGGGGTAGGGGGGGAAATGGGCCCAAGGGAGCTTGCGTTGGATTTATCTTACCTGGGGCAGGTTGGGGCAATTGCTGAGAAGACAGGTGCTGCGGGAAGAGGGGTGTAGCTATCTTTGGGCACTTGCCTGGTCTCAGGGCCTCCCCTCTAACCTTTGGTCCTGCCTATTCCACCTCTCCAGGGTCCATGCTCCCAAATCCCCTCTTTCTCCTATCCTGCTACAAGTCCCTCTAAAGCAGCTAAACCAACATTCTCTTAGGTGGTAACTGGATTTCAGAATCTCAATCTCAGGCCCCGATGGCTGGTCTGCTGCCCAGGTAGAATGAAGGAGCGAGAAGGACTAGACTGAAGTTTGAGAGAGCTGAGTTCCAATACCAGCTCTATCCTTGAGCACCAGTGTAACCCTGGGCGAGTCAGGACCTGTCCCAAAGCTTCAGCAGTTAAATAAGTGGCTTAGAAAAAGGGAAACTGTTTTGTCCTACAGAATTCCCAGTTTGGGGGTGGGAAGAGAAAGGAGGAGAGAGATTACATCCGAAATTCCTCCCCTGCAATGGTACTTTCACTGTAATGAGAAACCTCCTAAGACATTCTTGGCTTTCCATTTGTTTAAGTGAGATGGGTGTTTGCTATTAGTGCAGAGAGAGCCAAGGACAACCAACACACACACACACAAACACACACAGCAGAGGTACTAGGAAAACTCCGATTTTAATTGCACCTTAAAAAGAAGTGTTATCATGACACCTCAGTTCCTTCTCAACCATCCCAGCCAGAGGCCAAGGAAAGGCTCATTAAAAGCTCCAGGAAAGGCTGAGGGGTGGGGGCGGGAGCAGACTCCCAGAGCCAACCCAGCTTTGAAGTGGCTCTCCTGGTCAGTCACTTGCTGACATCTTTCTAAGGGTCTGGGGTTTTACGGTTCCAGGTTTGATTTCTGCACCATCAAACCTCATGCCTTAAAAAACATTCTCATATTCACTGGGGATGGGGGAAAGGAGGTGTGCCTTCTGTGGGGACAGCCTTCTCTGCCTCAGCTTGATCTCAGACTCAGGGTAGAGAAATGGGTGCCACCAGGAAGAGTCCAGAGTGGCCTGAATCAACCTGGCTACTGGACAGGAGCCCTGCATACAAGTCTACGATGTGGATCTGTAGGCAAGTGAAGGCAACATTTGAAGAAAGCCAACACTCTGGCCTTGGTTTTCCTCATCAGTGAAATAGGATGCATGAGGGATTCACTGGGAAGACCCAAAGAACATTTTGAAAGATGCTCCCTGCCTGTGGCATTAGGGTTGTGGAGAAGGAAGGGACACATTCTCCCTCCTGAAGGCAGGTTTCTAAGGGCTGCACATTCTGGGCAAAGGGAAGGCTGCAGGCCAACCCTACCAGCTGGCCCCTCTCCAGGCTGGTGGGCAGGCAGCCCCTGCCGTGCTAAGTAATGAGCACAATTCCAACACCGGTTCTGCTAGCTAGTGAGAAATCAAACCCCAGTATTAGAGGACATTTCTGACTGGGCACCATTCGTACCCAAATCCATCAAAGCCCTGGGCTTGGGGTTTCTTCTAGGGAAGGTGGGGGCTGGATGCTTTGTTAAGCAAGAAAGGCAGTACACCCCCAGCCTCCCTGCTGAGACTACTCTGTAGCTCCAGAGAACTCTAGGCCAGTCAGTCTTGTCTTTCTCCTGCCTCCCCGAAACTCCCACCCCCAGCAACCTCAGTATTTATTCCTGCTCCCATTGCCCTGCTGCCACAAAAACAGCTTCCCAACCCTGCCCATGTGCCATTTACAGAGGCTTCACCCTACCATTCAATCACCCCCCTCAAACACCCTCAAACCAGAAACCAACACCCCAGTCCAGCACCTCCCACACCCAACTGTACTCTTTGTAACAAGGTTGGTCATTCAGCAGCCTGCCCCCCACCCCCATCATTACCTTCCAACTTCAAAACACTGCTTTAAATACCAGAGTCTGCCCAAATCATAATTAACTTGGATCAAATGATTGTGTCGTAACTTTACGACACAGGGCTGAAAAAAAAAGTGTTGGGGGGGAGGTGGTGACTAAAAACCAAGCCCTTACTCCTGGGCCGTGGGAATCATTAATTCCAAAGTGAGGAATTAATTCCAAAGTGAGGAATCTCTTTATTGGTGGGGGCGGATGTCAACATCCAAGCGGAAGGTGGAGGAGGGAGGGCTTCGTCATCCCATCCACTTTATACACCACTTTTCCTGACCCATTCTCAGCCTCAACTCAGAGGACCCGGTGCAGGATGCCCCCCTACCCACTCCCACCCCGCCCCAGGAGCCGAGACAACCAGTGGCAGAGGCCAGCCCCCTGCTTGGGTTCCTGCACCACAGAGGTTGCTTCCCGAGTGTCGGCTTGCTCCCCGGGAAGACGCAGCCCAGTCGGGGACGCCGGGCCCAGCTACTGAGGAGCAATACTTGTACTCATCCGTGGCGGGGGGTGCGAGGGGAAATAGGAGCTTTATTTTAGAAGCTCACCAACCCTCTAAAGGCATATTGCTGGATCCAGAGTAGGAGCTGTACCGAGGCGAGCGCACCTAGTCTGCTCCCCAGGCAGGGAGAATGTCAATGACCCATTTAAAAGGAAACTCGCAGA